TCCTCTCTCCCCTCTGCCTCATGGAGCTAAGAAGGATGAAGAGCTTGGGGCTGCGAAAACAATTCACTAGTTTAGCTACAATTCTGACATTTGCCCAGTGGGCTTTTCTAGAACACAAGTCCTGTTTTGTGTTTGCTTTTACAACTGCTCATGTCACACACGACATGTTAGTTTGTGTTCCTTCTGGGTAACTTTTCATTTCTCCTGGGCTACATGTTGGTCTGGCCCGCCAGTCCCACCTCCCTTCTTTTGTTGTCCAGAGAACACTCTCCTTCCTTCCTTCCTTCCTTCCTTCCTTCCTTCCTTCCTTCCTTCCTTCCTTCCTTCCTTCCTTCCGCATAAGGGGCTTTTCCCTCTGTGCTCACAGCAGAGGCCCAGCTCCACAGCGGGGGCAAAGCTAGAGTTGCCTTTCTTCCATGCCAGCTTTCTGTCTGTCTGTGCTACTCCTGGGGTCTAGGGGAGGTGGCAGTGTCTGGTTATAGGTTCAACTACCCTCCACTTTCATGCAATCCCAGGAACAGGCTGGAAAGTGTGTGTGCTGGCGCACAGTGAGCGGAGCGGCATGGCGTCGGTGGTGCTGAGCGAGGCTGAGAAGGTCTACTTCGTTCATGGAGTGCAGGAAGACCTTCAGGTGGACGGCCATGGCTGTGGGGACTACCGATGTGTGGAGGTGGAGATGGATGTGGTGTCCAACACCAGTGGGTCTGCCAGAGTCAAACTGGGTCATACAGACATCTTGGTGGGGATGAAAGAAGAAATGGGGACACCGAAGCTGGAGAAGCCAAATGAAGGCTACTTGGAGTTCTTTGTTGACTGAATTGGGACTTTGGAATATTTTATTTTGTTTTATGTGTATGGGTGGTTTACCCACATGTATGTATCTAAGCACCACTTGCATGTCTGGTGCCACTGGAGACCAGAAGAGAACAGTAGACCCCTGGAGCCGACATTACAAACGGTTGTAGATGCTGGGAATCGAACTTGGGTCCTGCAACAGCAACAAGTTCTCTTAACCACTGGGCCAACTCTGTAGCCCCTAGGACTGGAACTTTTTATTGTATGACCCCTGCTTTGGTTCTAGAAATTAGTGTGGACCAAAACAGGCCTTTGTCGAAACACAGCCCAAGAATGAAGTCCTATGAGAAAACTCTAAGAAAACTAGACAAGAGTCTTGTGACCTCAGTTTCTTCAAAAACCCAAAATTGTTCTTGAAATGTGTGTCAGTGCCTCCCAGGTGTAGTGGACATGAGTGAGTTCACTTCAGATTATTCATTACCACTGACTGTTATTTGTTTATATGACTTTATGGAAAAACGTGTTTTTGCCATGTGCAACTTGTCCTTGTGATTATATACAGCTTGAACTCCCGAGAGCTTTACTTGTGTGACCTTCTTAACCCTCAGGGTAGAAATTTTCTGATGTTCTGAATAAAGTTAGCTATTGCATAAAAAAAAAAAGTGTGTGTGCTAACTGCATCTTATTATCTCCTCCGCCCCTCAGAGGATCGTAGGAGTGAACGGAATCTTCCCTCTGAGACATCCCATGATGCATGCCTTGTCCGCTGCTTACAACTGCTTTCTCAGCTTTCTGTGAACCCCAGTGTTCACAGTTGCTGTGTCCAAGCTTTTGTGCTGGCCTTTACTTCCAGTCCCCCCCCCTTGAAAATAGATTTATTTTATATTTATTTATTTATTGATCTAGTTATCTTTATTTATTATGTGTGTTGTGTGAGGCAGTTCTCAGGGACCTGAAGAGGGCATCAGATCTGTTGAGCTAGAGTTACAATCAATTGTGAGCTTCCCAACATAGGTTTTGGGAACTGAACTGGATTCCTCTGCTAAAGCAGCAAATACCGGATCACTGAGTCATTACCCCATCCCCAACCCAGTCCCTTTCTTCAGACTGCCGAGTTACCCTCTGAATTTGGCACCTTTGCTGCCCTAACTCTGAGACAATGTATTTTATAGCTTTCGTATTTGCTGTTTATACAATAAAATATTCCTGAAAATGATAGAATGGGAGTTTAAGACTAGAAACAAAGGAACTTGAGTTTGCACAGCGTGTTGTGTAATTTTATGTCAACTCGACATAAAAACAACTGATGGGGTTGGGGAGCCTCAGTAAAGAAAATGCCTCTGTAAGACTGGGATGAAGGCAAGCCTGTAGTGGTTGACGGGAGGAGGCTCATTCCATTGTGGGTGGTGCCTTCCCTGGCCTGCTGGTCCTGGGTTCTGTAAGAAAGCAGGTTGAGCAAGCCTTGGGAAGCAAAGCCAGTAAGCAGCACTCCTCCACGGCCTCTGCATCAGCTCCTGCCTCCAGGTTGCTGCCCTGTTTGAGTTCCTATCCTGGCTTCCCTCAATGATGGATTATAATGTGGAATTGTAAGCTAAATAAACCCTTCCCTGCCCAACTTCCTTTTTGGTCATGATCCTTCACTGCAGCAATAGAAACCCTGGCTAAGACAGATGGACTGCATACTCCATTGGCTCCAGCTCACCACTCAGTGCCGACCTCCTTTGTGAACTATGCTATTCTGTTAAAACTCCACAAACATTTGCTGGTTCTTACCAGTTTCTGATTGAGGTTCTGTGTTATTGGTTCCTTCCCCCCAGGCCCTCCTATAGCATTGTTCTGAGCCTTCCCCACCCTGGCTGTTGGACGCGTGTGTGTGATGGTTGGTTGACTATCTTTCTTGACTAGCGGAGAGATAGCTAGGGAATTAGGAAGGCATATGTCTGGGTGTGTCGGTGATAGTGTGGCCTGAGACACAAATCCTGTAGGTCTGAGATAGTGAACCGCTCAGTCCCTTGATAAAATCATAATCTGATAGTGTACCCAGAGATGCTGGAAGTGGGGGGTAGGGTCTAGTTGGAGGAAGTGAGTCAGTGGGGTACCCTTGGGGTCTACATCTTCCTGTATCCCACCGCTCCCTTTGCTTTCCCTTGAAGGTGTGAGCTGCCCCACCACCATGGACTGACTTCTCTAAAACTGTGCAACAAGACATGGAATTCCTTCAAAGTCTTTTCTCAGGTGTTTGGCCACCACTTGAAGAGAAGCGGATAACCCAGGCCCCGTGCTGCAGGAGGTTTAGTCGATATTACTGTTTCATCTTTAGAAGAAAAAAACCCTCATCTACAAAGTAAACAAAGTGTGGACCAGGGCCTCACCCGGCTGGTGGGTTAGACCTCCCTGCCTCAAAGACACCGCAGCTGGAGGGGCAGACCAAGGGGCCGCTGTCAGATGCCAAAGCAACTCAAAGTGTCTGGAGGGAAGAAGGGGAGGGGAAGGGGGTTCCTGCTGAAGGTGGAAGCTCCCACCCCCATGGCCCCTTCATTAAACACTTCTACTTTCCAGTTTATCTTTCGCCTTTTGGCTCCTCCTTCTGGCTTTATTGTTAGAAGATCATTTGGTAAGTACGAAATAATTAGCATGGAGCCTGCTGTAGAAGACAATCTCCTGAGGGCCGAGCCCCCTCCTTTTCATGCTTAGGTGTCGATTTTACCACTACTGTGACCCTCAAATGATGGAACTGAGACAAACTGGAGGGTCCACAGGGTGAGTTTTACACCCAGAAGTACAAAGCAATTTAGTGGCGGAGCCGGGACAGAGGTCTGGCCTTTTCTTGCTGTCCTTCCCTTCTCTTTTCAGTTAGTTTGCTCCATTCTTTTACCACAGATTACAAAACTGCAATGAAGAAATGGACGCTCTCAGAACCAAAGCACAAAGCCAGAGGCCGTGTTCGCATTGCACAATTCCTCAAAGGTGTTGTGGAAAGACAGCTATGTGCACACTGCGTTTGACACAACTCTGGGGGGAGACGCAGCTTCTGCATCTGAGACGAACTTCACAGCACAGGGACTCTTCGCACTGGTGATTTCTGAGTGATTTGTTACAGAAGGCGGTTGGTGGATGTTTGAATAGCCGGTGACTCTCAGCTCGAGCCACTGTGTGGAATAATGCTGACCAAGGACAGTATGAAAGGGAACGCTCTGGAACCAGAGCCCTGGAATGGAAGCTCGCATGGTGAGGGTTGTGAGTTTAAGTCTTCAGTCTTCCAGACTAAGAGCAGCAGGAAGCCCCTATGATAACATGATTCAATTAAAGTATGTGATTTTTTCCCCATTTGCAAAGCAGAATTACTGCTTGACTCTTTTTTTAATTTATTTATTTATTATGTATACAATATTCTGTCTGTATGTATGCCTGCAGGCCAGAAGAGGACACCAGACGTCATTACAGATGGCTGTGAGCCACCATGTGGTTGCTGGGAATTGAACTCAGGACCTTTAGAAGCTTGACTCTTAAGACTAGGCCGTTTCGTAAGCCCTGCACCTACTTCCTGTTAGTGCCACGCCCCCTTTAGATCTTTGCTTGCAGTGGTTAGTACAGTGACTACTGAATCAGAAAGGGGCACACGAGGCCTCGCCCCTCTCCACGATCTATAAGCAGTTAACATTTTCAAGGGGAGAAGGTGGCACCCCTCCACAGTGGTGTGATTGCCTGTAAGTCGTCTCTGCTCCAGGAAACAGGCCCTTACTCAGGGTGGGTCCTGGAAAGAATCACAATTAAAGCTTCCAATTAAATAAATTCAACTTGAGTGGAATTGTTTCTTATATGTCACTGATGTACTGATGCCCTAGGAGAATTGGAGGTGTTTGCTCAGATCACCCCAGGTACAGGTACTATATCAAATATATATATAGAAAGTTGATCTCACACTGTAGGTCAAGCCAGCCTGGAACTCACTATGTAGCCCAGGCTGACCTGTACCGATCCTCCTACCAGAGCCTTTCAAATCTACTAATGTTATCCTATAATCCTACTGCTAATATAATGAGTGTCTAATCTACATTTAAACAAAATATAGAGAAATGTGGATGACTTCAAAGCATCAGGTAGAGAAAGTATGAAGTTCAAAATGCCCCAACAAATGCCTCTTTTTTAACCCTTGAAACTGAACTGCCCTGCAAGAAAGAACACACACAGTAACTCATGGGTAATGACCATATATGTCAAAGAAATTCCTTCCAAATACTGGCTCTCAAGATGTAAAAACATCCATAGCAGATGCTCTTGAGAGAAGCTGAGCCTCTGGACTCTTCATATAATCCCGAACTGAGCGAGTTCGTGCAGTTCCAGGTGGCTGAATGCTTCCCAGGGACAGATCACTGTGATGTCTGCAAGAGACAGGAGAATATCTCAGCCAAGCCCTCATCCAGAGGAGGAGCCCCTCCTACAAGAGGAAAAGACACCCTCCAAACAGCTACGCACACACCCCTCTATTCCTGGGAAGGTGTGTGGGATGGCCCTATAGCCAAGAAGGATGCAAACAGTCACATAACTGTTACACACACACGCGCACACATACACCTGGGTATTGGGTTCATTTTGTACTCTCTTTAGGGAGGAGATGGAAGCTCACTGCGTCTCCCAAAAGCTAAGCCACCAAGAGGAGCATAGAGTGGAATTCTCATCAGGTCAAGGATTGAAATGAGAAGTGGGACCCTTCTAAGTTCCCATGGTTTGGATGGACTATTCACTAATCCGAGGTGAGCTTCTCACGGAGGCTCTTTATGTTTCCAGATGTCTGCATCAACATGTACAGAGAAACAACCTCAGAGCATCATCTGGTCATGTCTCTGGTTCGGGGAAGATGGCATTTCTCCTGTCTCCAGAGAAGATGGCTCTAGCCAAAAAGTACACTTACATAGATGGGGCTCAAACCAGGGCAAAGACCCCAGGCCTTGCCCCAGTGGGAATCTCTTTGCCTCTTTCCAGCGGGGAATTTACCTATCCTCCTGTGCATGTCTAAATTTACCTGAACATAATACAAAAATAATCTAAGAGCAACAAGTAAGTTTTAAAAAATAGCATAGGACCTACTTAAGATCCAGGGTCACATGTGTCTACAAAGTTGAATGCACTGGTTACAGTGATTGGTACCATGTATCTAGTGTACTAGACAAGTCCAAAATTTACATCCACCAAAAACTGTGACTATGCACACACACACACACACACACACACGTGAGCTCAAACATGAACACAGAGCAATTTTAGTCATTAGTGTTAATACCTGAAAGAAATCAAGATTTCTTCAATAGAACACACTCATAAAATAAAATGTTATTATCAGGAGCCATTAGAGGTGAAGAGATAATTCAGTTGTTAAGAGCACCAGCTGCTCTTGCAGAGGTCTTGGGTTCAGTTCTCAGCACCCAGTGTCTCACAACCATCTTTGACTCCAGTTCCAGAGCATCTGGTGCCCTCTTTTTGGCCTCCACTGAGACCGGGCACACACAGGCATAAATGTAGACCAGTAAGCACACACATAAAATGAAATAAATAATGAGCTACTGAACCATAAGAATGCAGAAGTCACATGAATAAATATTGCCAAATGGAAGAAACCGGGACAGGAAAGCTAAATACTGTATAATTCTAACTCAGTATCATTTCAGAAAACGTAACAGTAATACCCAGTTTAAAACAAGCCTGCGGTGTCCAGAGGAGTACAGTTGGGGAAGGAAGCCATTCTCCAGTAGAGGTGAGGAAATGTGTGGGACAATGAAATGACGACAGTTACGCAACCTTACACGATTACTAGGAGCCTTAGAGCCATATGGCACCAGTAAGCCTCAAACTAGATGTGCTAAGGACTTTTGTCAAGATATCGAGAATGATTGACAGCAGCTCATTGCACTCGGCAAACGTGCCAGACTCGTGCCTTATGTTCATTTCTGGGAAAACAGGAGTGATGGTGGTATGAGTTCTCTGACCCAGCTGCGAAAGTCTTCTGCAATCTAAAACTTCTTTTAAAAATAAGTGTCAATTTTTTTAAGGACACCTATAGCAACTGCAGTCAGTATCTAGTGAAGGAAAACAGTCCGGCCAACTAAAAGGATTTGCATGAGATACACTCAGGGTGTGCAGCCCTGTTCTTGGTGTTGTGTGCACCCACATCCTAGTGCTATGTGTACTCCCGTTCCTGGTGTGATGTGCACCCCTGTTCCTGGTGCTATGTGTACTCTTGTTCCTGATGCTATGTGAACCCTTGTTCCTGTTGCTGTGTGCACTCCTGTCTGATGTCATGTGCACCCCTGTTTCTGATGCCATGTATACCCCTGTTCCTGATGCCATGTGTACCCATGTTTCTGTTGCTGTGTGTACCCCTGTTCCTGTTGCTGTGTGCACCCCTCTTCCTGTTGCTATGTGCACCCCTGTTCCTGTTGCTGTGTGCACCCCTGTTCCTGGTGCCATGTGTACCCCTGTTCCTGTTGTTATATGCACCCCTGTTCCTTCTGCCATGTGTACCCCCTTCCTGATGCCATGTGTATCCCTGTACTGTGGGATGTGAAGAAGAGGAACTTGGTAAGGAGTGGGTTTCCAGACAGACTGCAAGGGCTCTCTAGACTCTGCCACATTTTCCAATTCCGCAGACTGTGGCTTCACACTGCCACTCAGTCTGCCTCAGATTCCTCTTCTGCAAAGTGGAGTTGGAATGGATCAACTCTATGAATCTTACATCTCACAACCCTACAGCTGACTGCAGCATGCCCTCAACGGCTGTTAATAAAACAACAGCCTCATTAGACCTCACACTTTGGTCTCTTCGCATGTCTGCATGTAGGCAGACACATACTTAAAAGGTTAAGTTAAACCCCCACCTATCTGTCTCCAAAGGATCCCTTGTTGTGGGTGTTGTAACTCTAAACCGTCCCTTGAATCTTGAAGTTTCTGCAAAGAGGAAACTTCAAAGCAGCATGCTCACTTCAAGGTGTCAGAGCTCACCTGTTCCTAGCCCCTCCATGCCTGGGATGTCATCTCCAAACCTACGCAAAAAACAGATGGATAAAGCAGACATTAGCTGAGGCCAGAGGTGAAGGACCCTGAGGTTACCCCTGGGAAGGTTTTTTCACTCAAAGGAAAAGAAGTCCTAAATGTTTTATCTGAGAAACTTTCATCCACATTGAACTAGATCCAGGATCTAGCTCAGTATATCCTTACTGGGGAGTGGGTGTACTTGAGACATAGCATAAGACAAGAGGGTGGCCTTGAACCTGAATTATTGATTCTTCTGCATCCCCAGAGTTCTGGGATTACAGGCATGAGTTCACACCCACTTTATGCAGTGCTGGGAGCTGAAAAGAGGGCTCCCCACAGGCCAGATAAGTACTCTATAACTGACCCCCCAGTTTCATTTAAAGATTGTGTGTCTGTCTGTGCCTGTCTGTCTGTGTGCCTCTATGTCTGTCTGTCTCTCTGTATGTATCTGTCTGTGCCCGTCTGTCTGTGTGATGTATGTCTGTCTGTCTCTCTGTATGTATCTGTCTGTCTGTGTGTCTGTCTGTCTCTGTGTGTTTGTCTGTCTGTGTGTCTGTGTTTGTGCCTGTATGTCTGCCTGTCTCTGTGTGTGTATCTGTCTGTCTGTGCATTTGTCTGTGTATCTGTCTGTCTATATCTGGGTCTGTCCACGTGTCTGTCTGTTCAAACACCATGGTGTGCATGTAGAGGTCACATGACAACCTTGTGGTGTTAGTTCTCTCCTTTCACCTTTATGTGGGTGGGCTCTAGGGATTGAACTTTGAACCGTTCGATGGCCTAGGAAGTACCTTTACCCACAATACCATCCTGCCAAGCCTCAATCTTCATTTCTTAAATATAGAGATGATTAAGCAGTAAGATATCAACATTTAATTAATCTGCACGCTGGGCATCACATTAGGCACAGAAAATAAAAGAAAAACCAAATTTTCTCTCAGTGATCCTGGTCCAAGTGTAGATATAAATAAATAAATGTAACGTAAACTAGCACAAGTTATGATGGCTGAAGGCATCCTAATATAAACACGGAAGTGATGATGAAATTTAAGTATCAGTAAAAGATAAATGAACTTTTATTTCATTTATCTGAGGAGTGCGCTGGGAATACATTTTTTCCAAATAGCAATATAGAAAAACAGAGGACTGAAGAAATAAGACATGAAAATAAACAAAAAAAAATCAACAACAGCAGAAACAAAACAAAACCCAGTGTTCCTTCGAAATGACTAACGGTTCAGAATTCCAGGTTAAAGCACAGGGTCTGTCTGCGTAAAAGAACAGAGAGGGAGCTGTAGAGATGGCGCCACAGTTAAGAGCGCTTGCTGCTCTTGTAGAGGACTCAGTTCGTTTCCTACTTGGGCGCTCCAGATAGCCTGTAATTTCAGTTCTGAGAATCCAGCGCTTTCCTCTGGCCTCTTCTGGAACCTGCGCTCAAATGCATATACCCACACACAGACATACCATATGTAAATATAATTAAAATGAAATAAGTTTTTTTAATTAATTTTTAAAAAGACTGGACAAGAGAAATCTGGAAGGTCAAATCCAAGGTCATTATGAAAACCTCTAGTTTCCTTTTGAAACTGGCCGTTCTCCTGGGGGCGTTACAAGGAAACACGAACAGGATTCAACACAGATGGGCTACAGAGGATAATGGAGGGCGGGGGGGGGGGGGGGGGGGGGGGGGGGGGGGGTTCTGTGAGTCTGTGTGATAGAGCACCATGATCAGTACGTTCTCAGGACTAAAGCCATCTGTGGGAACGGAAGGCGACAGGCCCCTTCCTCCTCACCTCACACTTACCCTTTCACGCCTTTCTTGGGAGGCTTGCTCTTGAACTGCCGGGTCTGTCTCTGTTTGAACTTGGGGGGACCTTTGCGCGGGGTAATAGGACCCTGGCTCGGTGCTGGAGGGCCCAGAGCAGTGGTGTCAGCCATCTTGGCCGTCCCGGGGTGGCTGCTGTGCTTGCAGGCTCTCTGGAGAGTGGAAGAAAACGAAGACCTTGGGAGTCAGAAGAACTGTTAGTTATCATAGCTTTGAGCACTGTGAGCTTGGCCTTTTGTGTTGACACAGGCAAACCAGGAGAAATTTCTTTAGAAAACATGACATAAAGCAATGGAGGTATTCAGGAGAGTGCAATGGTCTGTCAACTAAGAGATTTTGAAATAAAAACTATAGAGTTATGATGGTTGGGGACATAGTTCAATCAGTAGAGCGTTTGCCTACCACACTCAAAGACCTGGGTTCAATTCCCACCACTGAAAAGCCAGAGCTGGTAGTGCAGACCTGCAATCCAAGAGGTAGAGGCAGAAGGATCTGAAGTTCAAAGTCACCCTTAGCTATATAGTCAGTTTGAGGCCAGTCTCAGATACATGAGACCTCATCTAAAAATAAAATAAATCTTGGTATTGTATGTTCCAAAAATAAATCCAATAATATTTTTATCATAACACCTTATTTCCCCTCAGAAACCCTATGGAAAGAAGGGAAATTATCTGAATGATATGAGTGATTGGAGTGGCTATAGATTCTTGCAGCTTTATAGTCTCCGTCCAGCTACCGACTAGCCTGCCTCTAAAAGGTATTCTACAGTGTGCTCTTCAGCTTAGTGTTCTGTGCTTAATCCTCACTTAACTCAGAGACTTTTCACTTAGTTCTGAGGATGACAACACAGCCAGCCGGACAGAAGGATTGCTGAGCTATGGACAAGAGTGAATATATTCAACGTAGCCTGTAACAAACTTGCAGAAATACAGAAACATACGATGGAGTGGCTAATGCCTGTGTTCTCCAACTCCGTGTCCAGACACAGAGTTCTTCAGCCAGGCACACGTCCCTCAGACAGCCTCTATATTGTCTCTTGTGCAGACCCTGAGCCTATAACAACACCATATACCCAGAGTCATTTGGCCTCAGACATATGCCTAGCCCTATAAACCTAAGCCACAGGGAAAAAATATCAACAAAGGTAAACACACACACGCACACACACACACACACACACACACACACAATAAAACTTCAAGGCTTGAGAGGTGACTCAGAGTTTAAGATTACTGTCTGCTCTTGCAGAGGACCAGGGTTCAGTTCCCAGCATCTCCATGGCAGCTTACAGCCATCTGTAACTCCAGTTTCAGGAATTTTAACATCCTTGTCTACCCTCCAAAGGCAGCAGACACGCATGTAGAACACAGACATACGTGCAAGCAAAACACCCATACACATAAAATGAAATATATAAGAAATTTTATATTTTACAAGTTTTAACATATGGTTTCTTTTTTTTAATTCCTTTTCTTTCTCAACATTCAAGAAAGTTTCCCTTGGAAAGGAAGGAACTCACAGCTAGTCTTAACGGCCTCATCTGAGGCAGTTCTTCCCATGACCTAGTGCATGGGAGCTCTTTTGCAGACAGTGCCATAATGAGCCTTGCACAGATTACGGTGATGCTCTTAGGATGGTCCTGGCCCTGTCGACCTTTATCCTGGGTTGTTTGCTCCACTCATCCCTGCCTCACTGGGGTGCCCTCTAATGTTATAGGGGTGACTTCCACTACCTAATCTTCTCTTTGAACATTCAAGACTCTCTGCCCTTATTCTTTGTCCTATCATGGTTACCATTCTTGCCTTCCAGTTCTCAAACTGTTCAGTAGGAAAACAGCAGCCAATCTGTAAACAGTGCCCAGGATGAACATGACTGCCTTGTCTTACTGTTCTTCCCTTTGTCTTTACCCCTACTGGAATGTCCTTCGTGTGCCCACCTTTTCAGCCGGGGGTCATTTCTGTAGCCTCCATGCCTACAAGAAGTGTTGGCATTCAAGTGGGTTTGGTATAGGGGCCGTGTTTATTGAGTGGGTGCATAAATTAGTGAAGGATTCAGGGAAAGTCCTTGACTGTGAGCAATGAGATCTGACTCATGAGTTTTCCATCAGGCCGCAGAGAAAACAGTAGCTGGCCCCACCTCACAATGCCCTCAGTGGCTTTAGGGAGAGCAGTGCCGGTTCTTCTGATTACTGAGTCTAATTCTTGTGCAATGGGGCCTCCTCTACCTCTGTCAACAGGCAAGGTCTGTGCCTCTCCAGAGTGTGGTTGGAAATCCAGGAGGCGTGGTGGGCAGTCAGCCAAGGGCAGCATTGCTCTCAGCATGTGTGACCAGTAACTGACACATCACAGCTGTGCCAAAGCCACAGGGGAAAACTAGAGAATTGATCTCAGATCAGATTCTTGGACTTTCCAGTTCTTTCAGAATAGTAATAAATCATGAATCCTTTACCCCAATCAGGAGAATCTATTAGAATTGAAATTGCTAGAGAAATAACAAATTTTAAGTGGAAATATATTTAAAATGTTATCAGAGATTCCAAATTAATGAGCACTTTATATTTTATATGGAAACTATTATGTTGAAGACAGAGTTAAAAATACAATGGATTACAGTAAATTCTATGGATCAAATTACCCTCTGGAAGCAACAGCAGAAAGAATGAGTTCTTTAGGACGTGTAGTTTAAAAGTCCTGCTCCACAAAACTAGCTATGTGTTCTTTAAGTTTCATACTCCTTTCTGGGACCCTCTCCATAAAATGAATCAAAGAAAATCAAAGAAGATAATAAAAGTATTGTATCTAACAGTAAAGAAGCCAATTTAGGAAGCCAAGAAAGCCATGTGAATAGACCTATGGTTTGCAGTTGGTTGTTTTACTCTTTTTTCTTGGGAGCCTGCCACCCAGCTCCCAAATAAATACATGGAGTCTTATTCTTTCTTATGAATGCCTGGCCTTAACCTAACTTGTTTCTTGCCAGTTTTTCTTAACTTAAAATATCCTGTCCACCTTTTGCCCTTGGACTTTCTCTATTTTTTTCTCTATTTCTCTGTTTCTGTATGCCTTTTCTTCACTTCTTACTTCGTGGCTGGCTGTGTAGGTGGGGAGCTGACCCCTACTTTCCTCCTCGCCTCCTTTTCTCACTCCTCCATCTCTCTACCCAGTTTTCTCCTCCTATTTATCGTCTCTGCCTCCCAGCCCTGACTACCCTTTCTCCTTGATGTGGGAGTGTCATATCAATCTGTTGATTTCATTGACTGAGCAATAAAGAAACTGCTTGGCTGGCCCCGATAGGTTAAAAGATAGGTGGGAGGAGAAAACAGAATAGGATGCTGGGTGGAAGAGGAAGTGAGGTCAGACTCTGCTCTGCTCCCGGAGACTCAACAGCTCTGCTCTCTGGAGCAGAGACACCATGATGGACGGAGGCTAGAATCTTCCCGGTAAGCGCACCTTGGGGTGCTTACACACATCATTAGAAATGGGCTAGTCCAGGTGCGAGAATTAGCCTGTAAGGGTTAGAGTTCATGGGCCAAGCAGTTCTTAAATGAATACAGTTTGTGTGTTGTTATTTCGGACATAAGCTAGCCAAGCGGCCGGAGTGTTGGGGACGCAGCCCCGCCGCTTCCTATTACAACATCTCCTGTTTCACTATTGGCTGTTCAGCTCTTTATTAGACCAATCAGGTATTTTAGACAAGCAAAGTAACACAGCTTCTCAGAGTTAAACAAATGTAGCATAAAAGAAAGCAATGCATGAACACATGCACCAAAAAGCACATACTCACAGGTATACACACACACACACACATACACATACACACTCACATACATACATACATACATACATACATACATATGTAGAATTAAAAATAATAAAAAGCAAAAACAAGGACTCCTTGCAGATTTAGATGGTAGTCATGAGGCTGCACATTGGTGTTTGCTCTCTGAATGACTCCTGCTCTGTGAGCTTTATGTGGATGCTGCAGTTCAGAAGAGCTGAGAAATCTGACTGATCCTTACAGAGTTTTTGTCACAATTACCCATTAGGTCTCTGCAAAGCCTTTGGAAAGACCAAGATGAATACATCTCTTTCTTTCCTTGGAATAGAATCCCGTTGACTACAGACATCTCCAAAAACTAAGCTCATCCTGGCTGTGCTTCCTGGGAAATGTGAGTTCCCTTCTGCCCTGAAGCTGGATGTACCTACACTGAACATCAGACGTGGCTTTAGTTCACACTTGTGTCTCTCCAAGTGTCAAGGAAACCATTCTTTTGGGAGAGAGCCTGTTTTCCTGAGTTTAATGCAGTGCTCATTCTTCTTCCTGTTTCTCAGATTACAAAACACTCTTCAGTAGGAAAAAAAAATAGATGTGGCAAAGTGGTGTGTTGAGGCCCAGTGTGTTAGCTACCTGCGGATATGTCACATTAAACCCAGTGGAGCAATGCTGAGCTTGGCAGAATTATAGAGGACAATCCTTTGTTAGATCTCACCAAGAAAAAGCAGTTGAGGAAGGATTGGCACAGGCTTTCTGATGCTGCTCCATCGCTCAAGACCTCCGGATCCCTTCCTCCTCAGAAAAGACATATATATATATATATATATATATATATATATATATATCCTATCAGTGGAAGAAATGGCAGTGCCCATGTCTCTACACAATACACACACACACACATATACATGGACAGACTCATGGTCACTGAACTGAAAAGGGGATAGAGACATGGGCACTGCCATTTCTTCCACTGATAGGCTGGGCCCATAAATGTTACCAGGGCTTCTCTGGGACAGAGAGAATCAAATAAGTTGACACTCTAAGAAAGAAGCAAGGCAAGGCCACCAAAAGACAATCCACCATGTACCTTGCTTCATACTAGAGCAAACAAACATTTCAACCTCAGAAGGACAAGGCAACGCCACCCACACTGCCCTGCGGTCACCCCATGTTGCTTTCTCTTTATCCTCACACTCCCGTCAGCCTCAAGTTCATCCTGGGAGTAAGAACTATTTGTGCTGTGGTTGTGTAATGCCCAAGATCCATCCTTTCCCAGAAAACTGTTTGCCAGGAAGCCACCAACAGGGAGGGGCACTCTAGGTTCCTTGTGAACAAATTC